CAGCTTCACTAGGGAAATAAATTGAGAGATGGGCAGAAAAATCATGCGTTGGTCTTTGTTCCCAGGTCACTCGGTGGCTAATCTCTCCCAGGCTGAGGAGGCTGTGCAGCATGGTGCTACCTTTATCACTCACCTCTTCAATGCCATGCTCCCGGTGAGTATCTGAGGGCTGTGGCCCTGCACTGGTATCGCTCTCTGTGCTTTCTCTCCTGCTCCCCACACATGCATATTCTCTCCAGCTTGTTTCGTAACAGGCCTTGCAATGAGGTTTCAGCACTGAACCTCTGGCGTCACATTTCTACCGCCTGATCTAAAAGAGAGTCAAAGCTGTAGCAGACATGAAATCTGAGGAAATGCCCAGATTTGTCTGGTAAAGGACGGAGCACCCAGCTGCCAGGCACTGTTTGATAGAGATGGCATCTGCGTCCCCTGATGGGAAGGGTCTCAGCCCACAAGTCCTGGTGATGCTCCACAGCTTGTCCTCTCTCCCCTTGGGCAGTTCCACCATCGCGACCCTGGGATCGTGGGGCTGCTGACAAGTGACAAGATTCCTGCTGGGCGGAGGGTTTTCTATGGCATGATCTCCGATGGCATCCACACCAACCCTGCCGCCCTGCGAATCGCCCACCGAGCCCACCCCAAAGGTGAGCCGTGCCAGGCCCACGCAGCGTCACCAGCGCTGTGCCGTCTCCCGCAAAACACTCACCCAAGCGCCGTGGCCTACTGCCTTCGCTGCCTGAAAGAGGTCACAGCCGTGTGTGCTGATCTACCAGCCCTCTTGCTTCGGTTGGCTGTTGGCTATAGACACCTTAGCCCCTCTGTGGGAGGGCCAGTGGGGCGCAGTGCTTGGAGCCTGCAGCAAGACCAGCTGCAAAACTAACGCAGCTTCCTTCCTTGCCTTCTTCAGGCCTGGTGCTGGTGACGGATGCAATCGCCGGCATGGGGCTGGCACCAGGTCGGCACACGCTGGGTCAGCAGGTGGTGGAGATCGACGGGCTGAACACCTACATTGCAGGTAACTTCCTCTTGCTAAAGAGCTGGCGACAGCGCCGCCGCTCGTGCCCGTTCCTGGAGAGATCAGCGCACCTTGCAGTGCCTGTCAGTGTAGGGCAGAGCTTGTGCCACCCTCTTGGGTTTTGGTGCCTGATGGCTCTGCAGTGGCTTGGCCCTGGGGAGAATGAGGCACCTCACAAAGAGGGGAAGTGCCCCGTGTTCATGGAGTGAGGAGGAATCTGTCAATTCGTAGCTGTCTGCAACACCTTTGAATGCCTCGTTGCCCAGTGTCGTGGATGCCAGAGGTTCCAGTGGGGTCAGAAAGGATGGGAAAATCCTACAGATATTTATTGTCCCTTGTCTTTACTATATCACTACCACTTCTTGCTAATTAAATTCCCTAAGCTTCAAGCAGTTGGAGACCGGGGAGGTATTTCAGGGAAGGATCATTCCTTTCTCAGTTCCCTTCCTCTGTCTCTGGCAGCAGTGCCTGCATTGTGAGCTAGTTTCACCCAGTCCATCATATCTTAGAGCAGAGCTGCAGGGTGACATCTTGGTACCTCTCCCTGCGCTGTCAGCATAGGCTCTCTCTTGCCTTGTTCTGTCACTCAGCAGCAATGGCTGTGGGGCCTTCAACTTGATCCTCGTGCAACCTGGGATTTCTGCCCCTTCTGGTCACATTATGCTTTCCTACCACCCTGCCTCTCCTTGCTATGAGTTGTGGGACCAGCTCAGTGCCATCCTGTTCCTCTCCCAGGCACAAAGACCCTGAGCGGTAGTGTGGCAACCATGGACACGTGTGTACGACACTTCCAAGAAGCCACAGGTAAGTAAACCTTCTCCACAAGCTGTTGCTCCCTATGTTGACACAGGAAGAGGTCCTGCTCTTGCCAGCTGTGTCCGCTCCACCCGGGAACATTCCCTCTCACCTGAGACATGATGAGAAGGGCTGGGATCAGCAGCAGTGGCCTCAGATGAGCACTTTTTTGAGGGGGAAGTTTCATTTTAACCCATAGCATTAATGAGAGGTGAACTCTCCTGCTCCTTTCTCACAAAGGTGAATTATCTTCCCCTCCCCATAACCTAGGTGTTCAGTTCTCTGCTGCCCACTGTCTCGCGTGGTGACGTTTCCCCAGCTCCATCTGGCTGTGGCGAGGGTGTTCCAGCTCGGGTCACTGCCAGGCTGACTGCTGCCTTGGCTAGGGGGGTTTGGGCTGCTCTGGCAATGAGGTTGTTTGCTGCCCTAATGTCTCCCCCCCTTCTCTGTCCAAGGGTGCTCAGTAGAGACTGCACTGGAGGCAGCGTCTCTGCATCCCGCTCAGCTCCTGGGGATTGAACACAAAAAGGGGACACTAGATTATGACTCCGATGCAGGTACCGGTATGGGGACAGCAGGTACTGGTATGGGGACAATGGTGTGAGGGCTCTCAGGTGGTGGAGCAAAGCAGGGGCTGCTGCGAACGCATCTTCATCCTCTGCTTCAGAGGGAGCTGCAGAGAGTCCTGCTCTGCCTGGGATTTGCTCTGTGATTTTTGCTCCAGTGTTTTTTCCTTTTGATGCTGGCGGTGTTCCGTGACCGCCACATCTCAGCCAAGCATGGAGCAGAGCTGCCATAGCAAGGATGGCACCACACTGCTGTCCTGCTGCGTTACTGGGGGGGGGGAGAAGCTATTCACCACTGAGCCCAGCTTTTCCCAGCCAGCTTCAGCTGCTCCGTTTCCCTGACAGCTGCTTCCTTTCTCTCTTGTCCAATGCAGATTTCCTGATGCTGAATGATGGTCTGTATGTGCAAGCCACATACATCGCAGGCGAGGAAGTCTGGAGACAGGATGTGTTAGGCATGTGACGCTGGGCTGTCCTGGTGCCCTCTGAGGCTCCCTGGCACTGTGGTTAGCAGCTTTGGTAACCACCCCAATTCTCTCTTCTCTTTTTTTTTTTTTTTTTTTTAAATTCCTTCCTGCAACTCCCTTAAAGGAGCCTCATACCAAAGAGCTGTGTTTTCCAGCGCAACTGCTGCTTCCAATTTACAGCCATGCCTGCAACAAATTTGTTGGTGCTCAGTTGGTGGAGTGGGGAAAGCAGGCAGATCTGTGCTGGGGGTGACTGTCAGTCCCTGGCGTGACCTGAAGGACTGCACAGCTGTCCTGCATGGAGTCCCCAGACTGAGGTGCTCCTGTTTCCACCTTACAGCAGTGTGCAGCTGTCCCAGCCTTTGCACTGTTTTATACAGCACACACTAACCTGCACCATGCCCGAGGCAGGCTCAAGCCATTTCCATTCCTCTGCCTGCTGTTTGCCTCACTCCCGGGCAGCCGTGGCTGGTTAGACATCAGCTTCCACCAGCTCAGCTCGCAGCTCTTCACGTTAAAAGGTTCCTGTTGTGTCAGCGGCAGTTGAGGATCGCGTTCTGATCCCCCAGCAGTCCCTCAGTCCTTGGAGCAAGGCTGCCACAGCTCGCTGACTTGGTGCCATTGTGGGGCTGTGAATCCATGTGGGCTGAATCCTCAGGGCAGAGATCAAACCCAGGAAAAATGAGGCATTGCTGGTCCTTTGTGCCTTTTCCCTGCATGGGCATTGAGTCCACAGCACGTGGTTTCAGCTGGAGACACAGACAGCATCCTGCCACTGAAAGCAATGTTCCTCTTAACCCTTTGTTCTGGCTAGATGGATACTGCAGGCTCTGTGCCCAGCCATACCCAGCAGAGCCTTTGCATCGTCTGATGGGTTTGTGCGTTCTTCAGGCCACGGACGGGAAGCTTTTGCTTTAGGGGATGCATCCAGACTGGTGGTGATGGGCTCACAAGCCCTCAGTCCAGCTCAGGGACCGAGGGAGAGGAGAACTGCTGTGGGATTTTTGGCCTTTCAAGACAATTGCTGATAACTCATTATTCCCATGCTCATTATTGTCTTCAATACTTGACTGTCACTCTTTTTCTGGCACTTGGACACTTCTATGCGACGACTGATGCTGATTTCAAACCTACTGCAGTCAGAAAGGCCTTGTGCTAAGTCTTAGACAACCTCTGATAAGCCTCAAACCAGTAAGATGTTTTTTTGTGGTGAGGGGATTGCTTAGACAAGGGCTGTCTTAGCAAGGGTGGAGGTTGTACGGCAAGGCAAGTCTGGTCAGGATTGGCATAAGTGTGCCGATTTTTTTTCAGTACTTTTTTATAACCTTTAACAGCAACATTTGGAAGTGCTCTCCTAGCACTTTAGAGCCCTGCCGGAATAACTGGAAGCCTTGGAGAATTCCTCACACCGACTGCCAATGCCAGCAGAAACTATAACCTCCAGGATTTGAAGCATTTTAGAGACATCAGGTACTGTGCTTTTAAGTGTGACGCGCTGCAGCATCGCTCGTCTCAGCGGGGGCACTTTTGACTGCTGTTGAAAAAAAAATGCGTGTGAAACAAGGTGTCTAACTTTTTTTTTTTATTATTTACAAAAGGATCGAAAGAAAATCTAAAATAGAGATGGAATTAGACAATGCCTGTGTCTGTGTGTCTACTGCCAACACGCCGCTCCCCACCCGCGGGGTTGGGGGGCGAGCCGGGGTTGCCGGCGGGCCGAGGCCTCGGCCTCTGGCCGGGGCCCCGGCTGTCGCGGGCGTTCCCGCCGGCGCCACGGAGTTCTGCCCCGCGTGGGGGGAGGCCACGGCTGGGCGGCCCGGCGGGGCTCCCTGCGGGGCGGGAGGCAAACGCAGCGCGGCGGGGGGAGCCGGGCTCCGCCGTCCTGCCCAGGCACCCCCAAGCGCTGGCCCTCCCGCCTCCGCGGGAAGGTTCTGTGCCCGGCACCCCGGCCCTCGGCGGCGGCCCCTGACGAGCCGGCGGCGGAGCGCCTCCCCGGCGGGCGCAGGCCACGCGGTGCCCCACCCCCCGGGCGGAACGGAGGCGCTCGGGCGGCGCAGGGCGGCCGGGCCCTTCCTTCCGCCGCGCCGCGCCGCGGGGCGGGCGGAGCCTGCGCGCTGGGGAGGCCGCCCAGCATGGAGCCGGTGAGCTGCCCGCGCCCCCCTCGCGCCCTCTCGCTTCGGCTCCGGGGCGTCCTCTCCTCCTGCCGCCCTTGGCCGAGACACCGGCCCCAGGCCCAGGCGCCGCCCCAGCCCGCCGCGGAGCCCCCGCTCTCGGGAGGTTTTCTGTAAAGGACTTCCCTGGCGCTTGTGCCTGCCTTCCCTTTCCCTGTTCCTGGTCACTTCCTTGTTCTGCTGTGGAATTTTTTTTTTTTTTTTTTTTTTTCCTAACGTGCTGTACTGTCTTATTCACAGGTGGACTTCTAAGCCTGACTTTCCGCCTGCTTAGCAGGAGGCAGGCAGGGTAAAATACAGCAAAGGTAGTCAAGGTTTAGTGTAAAAATAAATTCTGTGTATTGCCAGAGTTGTGCTGGAGGGAAATTTCCTGCTGTGGAGACATATTACACCACAGAACAGGCTTCAGGAAAAATGAGAAATCTTCCTTTTGGGGCCTTTAAAAACGGAGGAGGAGAAAAAAGGGAGGAAAAAAAAACAATCTGTGGGAAGTCCTGGCTTGTCATGACCGGGTGGTTTACTGCTACTAAGAGTTTATTTGCTCTAATTTTTGTCATGAAGAGCACTCATTTGGTGCCCTCCAAATAGGTAATACTGCAGGGTGTGTGTCCCACTCTGTGCTGTGTTATAGTGTAAACAGAGCTGCTACACAGCACACCTCAAGCATAAAGCCAGAAAAGAGGTTTATGACCTGCTAGTCTGATCTCACCTAAGAGGAGAGAGGCCTTCAGAAAACTCAGTTTTGGAATAAATGTTGCCGGTGAGAGATTTGTGCTTCTTTTAAACAGTGTGCCTTTGCCCCTCCCATGTCCAAGGCTCCCCAAGACACGTTCCAAGATGAGCTGGAGTTTTGCATTTCGCAGCTGGAGGCAGATCTTCGCTTCAAACCAACCCCAAAACAAGGTATGTTGCCTCATTCATAGTCTGAAGCCATATTCCAACCTCAGTTATGATTAGCAGACCTGGACGTTTTTCTGTTTCTTCTCTCTCATCTGATTCCTATTCTTGTGTTATATGGGATTTATTCTAAATACAAAACACCATAAAACATTGAACTTTTAAGAACTATCTGACTGGAAGCAGCTTTAGCTTTCATTCCTGTGATGTTCATTCTCCCAGTTTTCTATATTCTTTCTCATGTTCTCATTTTCCTATCTTATGGATCGTTGTTTGGTTCTGCTACAGCTCTGCTTTTGTTTTCCAGGCTTAAGGAAATACTGTGTCAGTGCATCTCACCCTTAAATGCCAGTAGGTTTATTTTTGTGAAGCTTGTTCCTCATTGTTCATGTTCCAAGAAGAAATTACATCAAAGATAAAATCCTATAAAAATACTTCTCAGAAGATCATATCTTGGTCTAGTCAGTCCAATTTGTAAATATATGAAGACGTATGTCCTGCTCCTACTGACGGCTAGTACCTAACATTCAGAGGAAGGGTGTGGCTGCCCTTTGTAAGATGCCTAAATGAGTTTTTGCTGGTGCACCTGAGCATGTAGCAGTGATTAATACGTGCCCACACACCATGCTTAAGCATCAGACCATTTTGTTACACCTCTATGTTGTGCTCAGTGCCTAGTGTCCAGCAGCAGCAGAGGAAGGGTATTCCTGGAGGGGAGGCAGGAGCTGAGCACAGTGACAAGGCCAGCAGAGGCAATCAATGGCTTGGCCAGAAAATGGCCTGTTGCACAGTACCTGACCCAGGAGAGCCAAACGGTACTGCTGATGGTAACCAGACTCTGCCTGGAATCCAGATCACCAGAGAAGTCTGCAGTGATGAGCCAGATCCAAGCTCTAACCAGCAATTCAAGGTCTGGATCAATGAGGTACCTGGCTGCAGCAGTGCTATGCATGAAATAACTCCCAAGTGAGGGAGGGGAGGGGTCCCCCTGAACCTTTTTCTAGCTCTTTCTTTGTAACAGCCCTTACTAGTGAACAGGCCTTGAGTGCAGCCAGCTAAACTCCTTGAAGAAGGGGGGGATGTGTGCGCAGGACCCTGATACCCAGGTGCTATAAAGGTACATCCAACTTTTGTGAGTGGCTACAGCTCCAGTGCAGCATCTCTGCCTCATGCTTGTGCGCAGTTACTCTATTCCTAGCACAGGACCGTGTGTTGGATCTGCAAGATACACCTCATTTGAAAAGTCCCAGAGAGATGCGCTGCAGCCAGGAGAGATGGGGGTATGCCCATTCCAAAACACTAGTCTAGTACATCAAGCTTTTTTGTGGCTTGAAATGTGTGAGACAAACACTAGAAGACTGCGCACATCTGGAGCTCCCAAACTGAGGTCTTGGGGACCGCTGTCAGAGAAGAACAACGGTGCTTTTTAGAGAACTTGCTCTGACACGAAGAATTGCTATTGCTGTTGTGGTCAGGCCAGTTTGTATGAGAGTCAAGCAATAGTTCTGCTTTTCAGGGTGTGCTCGCTACTCACTCAGACTTTTTTCCAGTTTTCCAGAGAATACTGAGCTAGGCTCTTGGATTGGTCAGATGCCTTGGGGGAAGGGTTGTTAACCCCTGGGTGGACTTCCTGCAGTGTAAGATTCTTACCATATATAATGAGCAGTTAAGGTCTATTGGTTGTCTTCCTTTAAGAACATTTCATGGCGTTCCAGCTTCTAGAAGCACTTGGTGTTTCCTTTCGAGCACGTACCGGTCATGGATTAGTCAGAAGCAGTACAAACACAGAACACATTCAGGGGAGACCCAGTCATCAGCATCCCACAATCTGGTTTGTGAGGCCCACCATAACCTGTTTCGTGTCTCTCTTGGTCTTTTTCTTGAGTGCAGCAGAGGAGACACAGCACATTCTCAAGGTCCTGTGCTCCTCTGAGACTCCTTTTGTGAAGAAGCGACAAGTGATGAACCATGTGTTTGGGGATTACCGTCTCAAGATGGCTGAGGATCAAAAAAGCACGGAGAAAGCAGGTGAGCTTGAACTGTTCCTTCAGGGGATGGTGATAGTTGGTTCTTTTCTGTAGATTTCTTAGGCTGCAGCTTTTGACTGGATTGCCTCTCTGTGGCAGTGCCCTGCAGGGGGAGTTGCAGAAGCAATGGCATCCCCATAGTAGGACACTGGCATATTGATAGAAACATTATTCTTTATCTTTTCTAGACGTGAAGCCTGGTGATGTGAAAGTGCAGCAAAGCAATGGGCAGGCTGCAGATGATGTGGTGTATGGGAAGCAATCTGACCAAATCTCTGAGGCAAAGCCAGAGTGGTTCATGTCATCTGACAACAGCTTCCAATTTGATTTTACACTTTCTGAGACTGACCCAGAAGCAACTGGCACAGCTTTGGAAGCAGCCCCTGGTGTCAGTGGTACTGAGCTGATACAAACCAGTGTAAAAGCCACTGAGCGGGAGAACTGGAATGGAGCCTCTGGACAGGAACCCAAGTTTGCTTTCAACTTTGCCATCCCACCTGAAGACTGTCCTCAGGCTCAGGTAGTTCCAGCAAGCCAACATACAGAGCATACAGCAGATCATAAAGTGCTGAGTAATTCACTGCCTACTGAATCAGCAGGCATGCCACAGATTTCAGCCTTGCAGAAGCCTCAGTTGACTCAAACTACAGGTAGTGCACCCAAAGAGGATAGAAGCCATGTCATGTTAAAGATCCCCCAACCAGAGACTGTTCCTGGAGATAAGACAGTGGCAGAGGTATCAACAACAGATGGAGCTGCACAGAAGAAGAAAAAGAAGAAGAAACAAAAAACATCTGTCAGTAAAAAGGAGATAGGAGAAACTGAGATCAACAGGAAGGCAAAGGCAGAAGCTAACAGATGTCAAAATAAAGATACTTCCCCCCAGGATGAAACCTCTCAGGTATTTAAATATTGATGGGATCCCATAACTTATAAACCTTTGAGCAGAAGAGAAACTATCTCTTTGCATAGTTTAACAGTTCGTATACTGGCTTGAGATGAAAGCTGAAAGGCAAAGACTGCTGCTTATTTCTTACAGCAGCTCTTTTCTTTCGAGGAACCTAACTAGTGGAAAGGCAGTTAATGGCCCCTCGTTGTCTGCTTCAGGCTTGTGCTGAAACATTTCATGTTTAGACTTGTGATGATTAATCCTGGGAAGCTGGGTGCCACGTTTTCTTAAAAAAAAATTTTAAAATGGAGGTAACACTCCTCAGTCAGTGCCAGCCTGGTATCTGTGTGTGCTTAACAAGGCACTGTATCCCTGATTTGCATGTTACCGGGTAGGATGAGTTGCTCACATCATGCAAATAGCAAAGCTGAGGTGCAGAGCTGCTATCTGTGATAGCCAAGGCTGTGGCAGGGTCTGGTGCAGAGCTTTAAGGGTGCTTCTGAGAAGGCTCCCGCTGTAAAGCGTGACCCAGAAATCAACTGAAGTTGCACGTTATGTGTAAACACACCTTTCAGGCACACCCTGGGGCTTTCTAATGTTCTGCAAAGGTCCAGGTCTTCATTTCATTTTTCCTTTCAGCACTGGTGTAGTTATTAGTAACAAACAGTGGCAGCTGAACGGTACTGAAATACAAAATGAGAACAAATTTGCTTTCTTTAATATTCTACCCAGAAGTCCCACTGAGTGTTCACCTGTCTCTTGAAGCATTCCATGCAAAGTGCTGCTTCACCAACAGCCCTTCCGATAAACACTGCTGAGTACCAGAAAGGTAGAAAGATTTGAAGGTGATGTAAAGCCCTTCCAGTCCTTTGGAAGGAGTCTGTTGTAAGGAAACAAAGGAGACAGCAAGAGGGCTGTTGTGTTTACATGGTAAGAATTGTTTCAGCCCTAGGGCGCAGCCCTGTTTCCCTCTCCCTTCCACTGCTCAGTTAGCCAGCTGGCTTTGCTCGAGGAGACTTGGCTTTTTCCATCTTCAAGAGCTTCAGCATCCTTCTCCTCATACGTTTCTGGGTTGAGCAAGCCCACAGGAGCTGAGACACCCAAGACTCGGCTTCTGATTTTGTCCATTGTTTGCTTTTTGATTCTGGACAAGTTTGGGGGTAGAGGTTTTTTTGTTGTTAATGCTTATTCCTCCCATCTGTAAGTTGATTTGATGGCTTCTTTCAGAGGAGAGGGTCTGGACAGCTTTCCAGAAAACAGCATAATCTGAGTGGCAGCCAGATATTAAATCCATCAGATAGAGGCAGTGAGTTGCAACTGAATATTTGTCCAGTGCTTTAGATTTATCTAATGAAAAACACTGTAGGGAGAATGTCACAAAGTCTATAAAGTAATCACCAGAACATGAAATTTGGATTAGTCCTGACTTTATGCAGATACCTAGGTTTTCCTGTGTAGCAACTGCTGCTCTAATTTTTGGATTACTTGTTTCCTCATGCTCACTCTGCTCCCTGTTGCATAGCAGTCAGATGACCAGCTGTGGAAAGAGGTGGACTGGTGTGTGGAACAGCTGGAACTTGGCCTGAAGACACAGAAATCCACTCCAAAGCAGGGTAAGCATTCAAGTGAATGAGAGATCTCCCCTGTTGGAAGGGCTGGCAGGCACACGGGGGCAGAGCCAGTGAGGAGTCTTAAACTGTGTGTTGTTTCTCCGTTGCACTGCTTCAGTTGAGGAGGCTCTCCGTGCAATCAGAACATTGCGCAATGACAAGGCTCCACTGGTGAAGAAGCGTCAGCTTATGCGGGCCATGTTTGGGGACTACAGGAAGAAGATGGAGGAGGAGTGGTGCAAAGAGCTGAAGCTCATGGAAGCAGGTAGAGCTTTGCGTGGTGGGGGAAGAGGAGAAAAGGCTTTGCCCCTGTCCTCCATATTGCTTTGCAGAGTGGCATCTCATTATATGAGATGACTGAACATCTCTTATTACATTTTTCTGCCCTCTTTAAGCTGTGAAATCTGCCAGGATCGTGGAAGTGAAGGGGAACATCCTCAACAAGAACTGCCAGTTCTTCCGGAAGCGCTCAGCAGCTTGCAGGAAAAGCCAAGGTTCAGCAGGATCCCCTTCAGAGTCACCCAGCACACTTAACACAGGCTTATTCAAATTCACAACTTCCCAAGAAGAGTTTTTCTTTAATTTCTTGTAGGAAAGTCTTTTAAAATAAAACTGTGGCTAAAAACTGTGCCAAATCTCCTATAAACCTAAGAATGGTGGTAAGATGCTGTGCAGCAAAAAGTGTTACGCAAGAATCCCTGTGTATTTTCTAAAGAAAGGATCCTCTTTCAGAATGCCTTATTTAGAGGTTTAAAACAGATCTACCTACCACACATATGACCCCAAGACTCGGCCTATGTAGTACTCCTCTCTCCTCACACTGTAGAAAGGCACCTTTGCAAAAGATCAGCACAGTCTGGAAGGATCTGTTTTTCTTCCTATAGAATTGACATTAACCTAAGAATCTGTCTTTTATACTGGGAGATTTTCCCATTCTCTACTGCTTTTAAATAGAGGAGACCTTTTATAGCAGGTGAGGCAGCGTGCATATGGAAGGGAATGGTTTGTAATGAAGATCCAGCTTCTGTGGAGATCCAGAAGCGTAAGCACACTGGGTAGTTGGATGCTTCTGCTCCACGTGAGTCTGTGTGAATGCATCTTCCGGTATTCAGAAAGCACTGGGCAGTGTGTCATCACTGCCATCTAGAGAGTATGAGTTCAGGATCTTGGAGGAAGATGAGTGAGAGCCATCCTTGCTCATCATTTAACTGACAGGTATAGATTAAGAATGTTGATTTCATCTAACCTAGGTATGTAGGGACAGCTGTTTCCAGACAGGGAAAAATTTTTGTTGCTGAAGCCAAGTTCTGGCCAGCCAGGAAGGATGTACAATCAGTTCTTAAAAAAAGAAGTTTACTTTGTAAGTAGCCGAGTTATAGCCATCAGTAACTCAGAGGATAAATCAGCTGCATGCCAAACCCTGGGTGGCAGTGAAATGAAGTGTGAGAGCCCAAAGACTCTTGCATTTGATTTGTATTGAATGCTTCCTGAATGTGTGTCTCCAGTGTTTCGATACTGCTTCAGCCACTGAACCAATTTTCTATGTTCATATAGAAAATCTTCCCCACTAAGCCTAAAAAAGCTGAAGGAACAGAAGTCCTTTAAAAGGAAACATGGTATCAGGTGTCCCTAGGGTGCAGTGCTTTCCTTCCTTTTTATAGTCAAGTCATCCTCTATGAAAAGTGAGAAATGGGAGTGTAGGCAGATTCCAGGATGTACTGAGAGGAGCTGAGAGATGATGGAAAACATTTGCTGGGAAAGACTTCAAAAAAAACGGTGTCCACTACAAAAAAAAAAAAAAAAAATTATTACTAAGCTCTGATGCAGTCAGTTGCATCTGTGAGGATATTTTTTTTTAAATATTTCAAAGAATGCTTGTCTAGCCATAAGGAGAAACTAAACCTGGGTGACATACCTGATGAGGAGAAATACATGTAAGTGTCTTGGAAATCAATAGGTTAAAACTGGAAATCAGTAGGTTAGTAGATTATTATTTTACTTGCCAAGGAGCACTGCTGTTACTTTGACTGAATGGAACAACATGCAATACTTCTTGGATTTCTGGGATATTATATGAAACATACAAAAGCTGTGTAGTTGTCAAACTTTTAGTGTTTTCATGCCATTTACCAAGATTAAAGAGCATCTTGTATGTGACCTTAGAACTACTGCTGTTTTCTTTCCTAGCTGGTTATGCAGCACATATCTGGGAAATAGTGATTTTTTTTCCTTGTCTTGTTTCAGGTAAAGCTAGAGTTGCTAAAACATTATAAAATCCTGTGCTGATGAAGGCTGCAGGACTACTCTGAGAAGCATTCTTACAAGCCCCATGCTTACACTATTTGTTCGGCATTCACAATTAGAATAAAGATACCAGTGAGGTGGACATTTGGGGCAACCTAATCCATAGAGTTTATCTCCAGAGTGGTCAGAGAAAAACATATTCTAATATGTGAACAGCTCCTGTGGTTTTTCAGAGGTCCGTACATAATGCTGACCTGCAAAGACAGCCCATATTCCTTTCACAGTGCTTCATTGTTAGAGGACTGAGAGCAAATGTTCATCGACGTGACACTTTATAGCCCTGAGTGTCATGCTCGACCTGTGGAGTTGAGTGCAAGGCCAGAGCTGGCTGGGTCAGTTCCACGAGTCGGCTGGGTGATCCTGCACGGGGCATTTTGCCTTTCCGTGTCCGCTTCCTGTCTTCCACAGTCAAGGTGATGCCTCCTGTATTTTTGGCAGACGTGCTCAAGTTATTTTATTAACGATTGTGTCTTGAAGAGGCAACTCTCTAGTATTTTGCATCTGAAATTACAGCACTCTACTTCACTCTTAAGCTTTCCGATGTTTGAAGAATCTCTGTTGCAATATCATTTGTTCAAACGGAAACAAGCAACCTTGTTACAAGTTAAGAAATTCTGTCGCAGCTCCATCAGTCCATTGCCCTTTGCAGGACTCACAATGCAGCCTTAATGACATTTTTTAAAAAAATCATGTTTTCTCCTTTTAGCATTTCTTTTTTTTTTTTTTTTTTTTTTTTTTTTTTTCAGGATTTCAGTGCTGTTAAGGGTTTCAGTGATGTCTCTTATTACAGCAGCGTCAGGTTTGGGTCAGGGCTTTGCTCTACTAGTTCCTGTAATACAGAGAGGTATGGCCCGTGCCTGAAGGCATTAATGATGTTCAGCAAGGAGGGAGAAAGAAGATGTTCTCATCTGCTTGGAGTTCTCTGTCCCGGTATTCTTGCATTAAGGAAATGTGGCTCAGTTTTGGTAGAAAACTGAGCTCAGTTCTGACCTGCCTGTCTCTTTTTGCATCCTCTCCTCAGCTTTGTGCTGTGCATTTGAGATCAGTGAGAGGAGTGACTGGCTTTGCAGTCCTGTATCTCTTTGGTGACTGCCCACCTAAATGTAGTGCAGCAGTGCTGGGCCCGGGCTTGTAGGCAGCAAACTGCTTGCTTACAAGATCTTCCAGCATGGTTGTGACCTCAGGAATGAGTTAAAGACCAGGCAAAAAGGGAGTGTGAAGTACAACGGTGCCTCCAGAGCAAAACTTGCTTAACAGCGTTGGTCTTGAAAAAGTAAAAGCTGAGGCTCGGCTTTCTAAGGTGAGTAACAGGATAAAGGAGCACTACAACTTTTGTCAGACCTTTCACTGTAGCAAAGCAGAGGAAAGGTCTCACTTTTGGGAGCAAAGTGGAGAATTTTAGAGTTGTTTCTGTGGTAGGGTGATCCCAAGAATGTTTCCACGCAGAGGCAGCAGAAATCTGGGTGTGATCTCTGCTCCTTTTAGGCTTGGCACACTCCTCTGTAAAAAGATCCCCCTGGCAAAGGTTAGGAAATGCAATCCCATCCCAGACAGACCCTGCCTCTGCGATGACAAGGCGATGGCCAGCCTTCCCTCTCGCAGACCGGCCCTGTCCCGGTGGCTGCTTGTCCCTGCTTGCGTTTTGGCTCTTAACCTAGATGGTGCTCACTAATTGGTAAGTTCTTCCAACCCCCTTCCCTTGGGCTTGGCCAGTGGAAATGCATTTATTGCTCCCTGGGCTGCCCATCTTCTGCTTTGAGTCACTGAGGGGGGGCAGTGTCCCTGAGGAACAGCCCACAAAGGATCTCCGAGGGATCCCTGCAAAGTTCGGCTGAAATCAGCTCCTGAGTCCCAGCAGCCGCTTCTGCGAGGACTCCCTCTCCCAAGACCAGCAAAGACAGGAGGAGGCCAGCAATTTGGTCCTGCTGAATCTGTAACTTGGGTGACTAATATTCCCTTCTGCTACTTAAACTTTTAAGAGTGCCGAGGGTAGATGACGGACTCAACATCTAGTGACACCTAAAGGAAAAAATATTCTATTACCTTCCTTTGGGGGAGAAAAACCCCAATCCTAACTTATCTTTTCTTTGAATTAGAAAGAAGACAAGCTTAACACTTCAAGCAAGACAACAGTTCGAACACTTAAGAGAAGGAAAGTTATTTGAAGAGCAATAAGCATTGAACCTGAAATTCCTTAACAAAAAAAGAGGAGAGATACTGCTATTTTAAGATCATATGGAGCTGTGACAGATGATTTTGTATCTTTCTGCTGAAGTTATTTTACTCCAAGGACAAAGCTGTTGTATTTTCTTTGCTTAAATTTTCTTGGTGCTCACTGTTTGTGCTGCTTTCATATTTAGAACTGCAGGAAGGTTTGTAAGGCACACTGCTTTAGAAAATTGAAATTTTACGTCAGCTACCACAGTGCTTTGATTACTGGCAACAGTCCTTCCTGTGGATGCTGACAGCTGAGAAGCACTGAGCACCTACTGTATTTGGCCCATCTGTCTTCTTCCCTTTGAATACATCAACAGGCACTACTAGCTCCTTCGTATCTCACCACCGAGATGGAAGAAGTCTGGGTTGTGTATCTCTGCCTGATCTTGCTTATCGTGGTCCTGCTTCTAATGAGGCATAACCCGCATGTGGAAGAGGCTAAGAAGGAGAGGGAAAGCAAAATGCCCCCGCCGTCCTCTTCCTTTTTCCCCAGTAATGTCGGCAAACAACTGGAGCATACCCAGGAGGAGCTGGAGAACTATCTGGACAGGCTAACCCATGTCCTGTTTGACACAGAAGCCAGGAAAAGAGATGGCCACCATGATCAGAAGTCCCACCACCACCACCACAGAAGTGCTGATGTTATGTCTGAAACTAAGGAGCATTCAGGAAAGGAGGTAGCACGCTCTCAGTATCTGTCAAGCCACACAAGAGTTCAGGTATGAGGCTTATAAAGACTTTTGGATTCAACCAGATTTAGAGCTCCTGGCTGAGGTAGTGAACCCTGTTGAAACACATAGTCCATGAACGTGAATGGGGAAGAAGTGGGGGGGAAGTCTCACTATTTTGAAGTAAAATACATTCCTGTTTTTGCATTGTGTATTTCAACATTAAGCAGTCATTGAGAGACAGCTCTATGTGACATAAGTAGTATGTATGTTACATGTGTAAGATGTCAACATTAGCATCTATGCATGTGTGTGTATCTATGTAAATTATTCCTTTCTATATTAATAGGAATACGTATCATTTCTTACTTCAAGAACTTATTGTGCAGCTCTTCTGCTGTTATAAATCTCCTACTTTCCTCACATACAGTAGTGTTTTGCCAGTTTGTCCAGGTAAGGATGTGGCCCAGTAGGGCACAGGAGCTCAGCAAACACTTAGCTGGTGGTAAATGCACAGTATCAAGCTATGGGAAATACTTATGTAATTTTGCTGCTGTGCACAATGATCATGCATAGTGTACTCTGTAAACGTGAAAGTCGCTATTGGCAACCTGCAAAATTCTCTTTGCCTTGGCCAAGGCTCTTTTTTAGGGGATGGAACAAGATGCATGACTTTATATTTTTATCATTATCCTCATTGCAATACATCAGATTTTGCCCTTGAGATGACAGAGTTTCATGGCAGCTATGTGAGGCTGTGTTACTTTATGCTAGCAGCTGTTTATATTCTTCATTCTTGAGACACATTATCTTGCAGTGCCAGAGCCCCACTCTGTCACTGAGCACATTCTAGGGCCAGGTGGGAGCTCCAGTACAAAGCCTTCACCTTAGAGGGGAGAGCCAGACCTTGATGTCAATAACTGCACCTTGCTGAAGAATCAAGAGACAGATTTCTTAGTGATGAAGGCACTGCTGTAAACAGCCTTTTCAGTGAGCCAGGACATTATGACTTCTTAAGTCTTCAGGAGCTGCCTGAGCTATCTGTGGGAGTCAGTACATCCAGTTGAAGGCAGAGGGGCAAATATACAAAATGTGAGAATGTTGTGCAGAGTACATGGGCAGAATGAGTTATTCAAGTGGGTATTTACTTACTGACATTTCATTTGCTGAAGAAGGTGCTATTTTATTAGTTCTACTACAGATCAAAAAATAGCAATAATTTTTCACTGTGGAAATGGATCACGCTGCAAAAAAACAGTGTTAACTTATTTTTCTACTATGGTTCAAGATGACTATGTTTGCAGAATACGGATTGGGAAGAAAAGGTGCTGTGATCACTATTTTCTTACAGTTTAATATAATTCTAGTTAGATTCAGGGAACATTCACTTGCTTAGAAAAAGGGAGTACACTTTTTCACAGATTTGATGCAGCACATGATCCTCCTTTGGACAGCTGAAAACTTTAATATAAGCTCCTTTGGTATATGAAATGAACAGTAATCATGCAGAAGCAAAGTAGCAGAAATAATATTTTGGTTTTCCTCATTTTGTGTTTTGAGAACAGTAAGAAAGAAGTCACCATCTAAACACACCTAAAAAAGCACTTGTCAATAAATTGTCCAGCCACTGAAGCGAAATGGAAAACTTCAACTTTGCATGGAATAGTATTAGTGCCGAAATTGCTGGGAGGGGCAATGTTTGTTTATTGCTCAGGTAAAGGCTAAATGTTGGGATAGTTTCAGGAGCTGTGTTTGAGCATGATTACCTGGGTGCACGGCACGACAGAGATGCAGTCAGCTCAGAACGTGATTTAGGTGCCATCCACGGGCATGAAAAAGTGTGGGTATGTACGAAAGCTTCCAGATCTCTCTCAGGTCAGGGAAGGACACGGATGCTTTTGTTCGGGGAGGGGGTATCATTCTCTTCCTTCTACCGAGAATTTGTCTCTGAGAGCGAATGTAGGTTGT